TTTATTTAAAATTAACTCATAACTTATTCAGAAAAAATAAAATCATTGTACATAATTTGATCTGTATAAAATTGTTTCTAGTAATTGCTTTAAAATTAGGATTCCAAATTTCATTTACTTCCCAAATTTGCTCATACTCCTTACATTTTAGAGTCAATTTTCCATTGCTTTAACAAGTTTAACATTATTATATGATATTTTATAAATACACATTTAAGAATATATCGTCTTAAATTATTAGTCATTTAAAATAGATGTGACGGACAACAACAAATACTAAGAACATGACTAAAACAAAAGTTTATGTTTAGAGTTTATTATTCTTCCTACATTATATATATAATAAAAAATATTATCAAATTAATTTATTCTACCTATATTTTATAATAAAATAATATTATTTTTATTTTATTTTAAAAATAATTATTATTTTATAAAATAGGCCAACCTATAAATTTATAAACTAGTCTGACCTAAATCCATTTAACTTGATCTAAATAAATTGAGTAAAAAATTGATCCGATTTTATCTAAGCAATAAATTTTTTTGTCTAATTTCATCCAACCTATTCACTCCTTCATTCCCCCAATATACAAACTTCTAACCCATGTAAATCCCCCAAATTAAAATGAGAAAGACTCTTGATGGTCATATGTCCATCTAGTATATGCCTTGAAGCGTCCAAGATTCATCTTCTTGGACCATTTTCACCATTAACAAACTTCTCACACTGTTTGAATTTGAATTTGACAAATGATGTTGCACGACATTAGCCGTCACATGTGATGAACAACAATCAATCAAAAATTGAGAGATTTCCAATAACCAATCGAAAATTGAGAGATTTCCAACCATCAACCAAAAAGGGATAGATTTGTTGGCTTATACAAATGACAAGAGTTTAGTCTTTCGGCATGTATACTTAGGGTCTTCAACTTCTCTAATCTAAAATTTTTCGTCAAAACACTATTAACATTCTCACTCCATTTCTCATTTTCAGTTCGATTTTGATGCTTAGATAATGCTTCAATTGCGTAAGATTTGATATCAATTATCATTGAAAATTTGCTTTATGTTTTTTTTTGCCACGAACCAATTACATGATGGTATCCACCAAAGCATAGGGTTAAGCATTTCAGGTTGATCAATTTCCACGCAAATGGGTGCCGTCAAGATCAAGTTCTTCAATATTCTTTAGCTGGAAAATTTGCGGATATAGTTTTATGTCACTTTAAAAGTTGTACCAATTTGGAGATGGAAAGGGGCAAATCCCTTGTACCAATTTGGAGACAGAAGGGGCAAATCTCTTATAGTTCAAGGGTTGAAGTAGTCGAAGAATGAGTAAGGGATATCTAATAAATCAGCATTGCCCTGCAACATAAACACTTTGAGTCTAGGGCAATCGGGTGCTTGTGCTAATACACATATTTTATTATCCATCAATTGTATGTGAGCAAGACAGTCCAATACAAGGAGCTCCGTCAATCCTAATACACCATGCCTTTATGATGGAAGGTGTTGAGATGTGTAACGATTTTATTATATAATAGGTTTTTATTATATAATAAGTTTCGATTGGTAAATAAACATGACTTTCACATTTCAAATAGAAACTCCTTGTGTAAAAATAAATAAGGTTTATATTTAGAATTTATTATTTTATTTAAATTATATATATATATAATAAAATATATTATTAAATTAATTTATTATACATTATAATAAAATAATATACTTTTTATTTTATTTTAAAAATAATTATTATTTTATAAAACAGGTTAACACATTTAACTTAACCTAGATATATCGAGTCAAAATTTGTTTGATTTTATTTAAGTCATATATTTTTTTAGTTTTTCGGATTAATTTTTCGAGTTAAGTTTATTTTAATATTTTTTTTAGTTTTTCATATTAGTCCATCTCATATGATAAGTTATACTCGTCCATACATTATAAATTAAACATATCTTATTATAAATATTAAATAATACATCTTTAATTCTTTTTATATTAAATACACGTTATAAAATTTTATAATTAAAGTATATTACTTTAAAAATATATGTTGTTTATATGATGACAACAATAAATAAAAAGAAAAAAGATGATCAAAACAAATAAAATTTATAATTAAAATTTATTATTTTTTTAAATTATATATATATATATATAATAAAATATATTGTCAAATTAATTTATTATATATTTTTTATAATAAAATAATATTATTTTTAAACACGTAAGTCTATAAAATTACGGACAAACATAGTCTAAACTTATTTAAATTTAACTTACATAGGTTGGCCAAATTAATATGTTTTTATTTAGTTCATAAACTTTTTTACCATTACTTTTCTTCCTTCCCAAATTGAGAATGATATCACTTCTCTATCTTCTCGAATTGGTTGATGTTTTTAATGCCATGAACGTTAAACATAATTAAGAAGAAATGATATTATTATTGTCCAAAACTCAAAGTCTTTTCAAATTGGAGTTGTCAAGCAAATTTTTGAAGTTCGTCAAAGCAAAAAGACATTGAAATGAAACGTATCAGTGTGGGTGATGCTGGTCGACCCAAAATTTTTGAGCAATTGACATGATGAAGACTCAATTCAATAAACATCAAAGTAGATTGTATCAGGTAATTAGTTATGTTAGTCGGTTCTTGATACGTTGGTATCTTCCGAGTGGATTAGTTTAAATACCCAAACAATTATCTTTCTCATTTTCCTAAAGAGAACTTAAAAAGGTTATTTATATATATCTATTTATTATACTAACGGAATTGTTTAGTATTGATGAACATTTTTGACATTATTTAGCTATTATTTGTTGAGATGTACTTAGTAAGTCTAGTTTCTTACATAGTAACTGATTCTAATAAAAAAGAAATAGATTTTTTGTGTATCACAAAGTGGAAGTGAATTAAAAACATATATGTTGTCTATTAAAAGTCTCTTATCATCTGCCTCATGCTATTTGGTATGGTTTAAATACATGTTAAAACTATTTCACATATGGTCAATTGGTTTTATGTTGGAATTTTAACATGGTATCAAAGCTAAAACTTAACATCTTTCCGGTTATTGTCATAGCAAAAAGTTGACCTTTAATTGAGTCAAAAGTACTCTTGTGTTGAAAGTCCTACATCGCCTACCTCATATCATTTAATATGATTTAAATACATGTTAGACTATTGCACATACTACCGATTGGTTCTTGGAGGTAAGAGACGTACCTTTGTCACTAAGTATTTTCGATACAATCAGGTAAGCCTACAAGATCACACAGAAAAATAGAATATAGGAAAATAAAATGTAGAATGTCCAAAAAATAAATAGGTGACAAAGTGCATGTATTTTATTATTTATTTAATTTTTATATTTTAACAGATTTATTTTTTACTTAACAATAATTTATTGTTCAATTTTTACGTATAATGTTTTAATATATTTTTTTAGTAATTGTGTTTTTAGATGATAAAAACTAAAAAAATTGAAATTATATAAAATTATAAAAAAATATGTATAAGGACTAAAATAAATAATATTAATTAAAAATGATGTAAGTCTTACATATAATTAATTCTTAAAAAGATGTAAAAACTTAAAATAATAATTTAATATATAAATATAAGAGAATATGTATTTTTTTTATTATTATCATCATTTAATTTTTAATAATATAATAGTCTAAAATAATAATTAATTTAAATTATTAAATTTTAGAATGAATAAGTCCAAAAGATTTTTTTATATTTATTTGAAGAATATATGAATTTTTTATTAAATTAATTTATAATATATAAATATTTTTAATAAAATAATATTATTGTTATTTTTTAGTTTTTTAATAAAATATAATTATTATTTATAAAATGAATCTCAATAAACTTATTTATTACTTTAGTTTAATTTTATTGTCTAATTAGATCAAAATTAGTTTAATTCAATTTAAACAATAATTCTTTTTAATTTAACCTTTTTTTATCAATATGTTAGACTAAGTCTATTTTAACTTATTAATAAATTTTAATTATATTTTAGACAAATAAATTAAAAATATAAATTTTGAAAAAAATAAAAAACAAAAAAAGTACGATGAAAAAGTAAAGATTGAAAATAAATTAAAAAAATGTAGTTTTATACAAATTTGTGTGAATTGATTTTATTTTTTATATTAATATGGAAAATTGCAAAGAAAGGTAAATAATTTAAAATCGAAGTTTACATTATGAAAACTATTATTCATGGAATTTTAATATCAGTTTTTAAAATTCTTTAAATACTATTTTTAAGTACATGTCCTACTTTCTTTCAAAAACAAGTCACGGATCTAGTTATTTTTTCTACACCTAATAATTATTTTGTTACGTTAGAAGACTAGGTTTTATTTCATTTGCTTAAGATAATAATTATATCCACTTAAGTTTACATAACAATCGATTTTTTTTCTTTTTGATACATTAGCATTTAATTTTTATAACATAGATGGTAACTAAATTGTTAATTATGTATTATATATTATATTAAAAAGTAAATATAAATATAATTCATATTTACAGATTATATATATATATATATATATATATATATATTATTTTGATGCTATCTCGCATATATATGAGATTTTAAATTATATTTAGTTTTACTTTATTTAATATTTATAATTTTACTCGATAATAAGACATAGGAGACAAAAATATGTGAGAGAATGATTTCCTAGTATTATTATTCATAATCATTTTTATTTTAAAAAGTGTTGAATGTGATTAATTCGATTTTAAAATTTTCGGAAAAAACAAGTGTTGAAGGCCCGAGTGGCGGTGCCCCATTTCCGGATCAGAAGTTCGTGATGAACAAACATGAGCGACGACATACTCTGCAGCGCACCGTTTTGTCCATTTTCTCTATACATTCATTATACTCACTCCCACTTCAATTCAATTCCCCTGTGCTTTTCTCCAACCTAATCCACCATTACCTTTTCTCGCACCAGACATGGACGCTTCTTCTCGCATCTCGCTTACACGTGCGTTCCTGCATTGAATAACTTCGTCATTTTTTTTTTTTGTTTTCTTTTTATTTTATGTTCTACCTCAGGTGCTCATGTTTTTTTTCCTAGTGTTTATTATATGTGTATTCTTCACTAATTGATGTGTTTTTGGGCTTATTGAGTTCTACTTTTTGCATGAATGTTACTATTTAAATACGTCTTTTAAGTTGCTTGTAGTTCCGGTACTCGGCAATATTATGTATAATGGCCATGTTTGGAGTTTCATCAAGTAGGATCTCACTTCTTAGATTTACATTTACAACATTTGCATCATCAAGACTAGAAAACTGTGTACTGTTGGATATAATAGCAATTGATTAAAACTGATATGCTACTTGTCTTTATGCCTCGTGAGTTGTGAGATGTGTCTCTAGTTGCAAAACCCTTTGCATCTGATACACTAAGAAAACTTTCCAATTCACTTATATTTTCCATGGGGAATTTTTGTTTTGACAGTGTTGTTTATGGAACTTTGTTCATTAGTGTGTGTGCATATATATATATATGGAAAAACAATTTAATAATATTTTTTTATTATTATAAAAGATTAAATTCACATATACATATATTTTTTAATTTGAAAACTAATTAATTTTTTTTAAATTACAATGACTTAAACTAAATTTGATGACAGGGACAACAAATATGCTTCTCTTCTGCATATTTTGAGCTGGAGCTGTTTTGCTTATTACTTTGATCCTCACTACATCAATTGAGGAACAAGTGTAGTGATACTGTATATTCTGAAGTTTTATAGTTCTTGCTGTGTTATAAAATTTCGCTTGTTCTCCCTTAGGTCTGACAGATAAGAAATGTGTGCCGTGCGATCTGAAGGAATTGCGACCCATGAATGAGGATTCAGCACAGACTCTTATGCCACAGGTTTGTATCTGTCAATTAAAGGTTTCTAAGTCTCATGGACTCATGGTCTTGGATATTGACGTTGAGTGGTTAGGTTGCTGAGTGGAATTTGGTAAACGATAATGGTGTCTTGAAGCTAAAGCGGTCATGGATAGTAAAGACTTTCTCCAAAGGACTGGATTTTTTTAGGATAGTGGCTGTTCTTGCTGAAAGTGAAGGTATCATGTTCTGTTTTCATTGTTAATGATCTCATTTTAAAGGGTACATACAATATGTAACCAAGAAGATGTTTATAATGCAGGTCATCATCCTGATCTTCACCTTGTGGGCTGGAATAATGTTACAATAGAGATTTGGACTCATGCAATTGGTATGAATTATTCATTACTCAACTTTTAAGTTATTTAGTCAAAACATGGTAGATTAGAAATGACGTCAAATTACTATGTATTATGTACACTCATGTAAAAATTGTTTTGTTTGATGCAAAAGATACAATTTTTTGCTTCTCAGCTTCATGCTGTGGAAAGCGGGAACTCCTCGGTTGCAGTTCCCAAACACACCCTAAATCAGCACAGTTCAGGCTTGCTTCCAACCTTTCTTTCATTATGCATCCCATAATTTTAAGTTCAAGATGATGTACATTTTAACATATTTTTCCTAGGGACTCTGGTTTTAATCACAGCTTCTCTGGAAAGCAAATAAATTTATTCCTCTTCAGAGAGAGAGAACAATAGCATACTCAGTGGAAATAGTAAAAAAAAAAAAAGACTCAAAACAGAAAAAAATAAAATATAAATAACATTTTTTGTAATTAAAAATAAGAGCAATAAATGAAACTTGTAAATATTTTCTCAGAGTAAACCCACCTTAAAGGGAATTTTTTTTTCAATATTACACTCATCTTCCTCTTTTGGAATCTTTAAAATAATAAGGGAAATGAGTTGACTCATATAGACATGTTGATCAACTCTATGTAGTACAGGGCACTAAAATAAACAGATAAGTTGGAACCAATTTTTCTTCATGTTATCCATTTTCATGGTCTTGTGTGGATATCTTTCAATAGTAATGAACATAAATTCTGCAATATTTTATCTTTAACTTCACTGTTCTGTTAATTAGCTGGTTTCCCTGCCTTTTCTGTCTTTCTTTGCATTTTCTTACTAAATATGTACAAGATGTACCCTAAATTATACCTTTTAGTAGAAAATTTGATTCGTATAGCATAAATGGTATATTAAATGATAATATGTTAAAGCTATTCTGATATATCACTTAAATCTTTGATATTGGCTATATGTGTTTATCTTTGAAGCCTCTGGGTCTAGGTACTTGTTCAACTCATTTGCCTCTGTGGTAGATGATTTCAGTCATGTCATAGGTTAACTATGCACTGTTTTATGATTAACAGTGATTTGGAGGCTCAATTAAGCTTGTTTCCTTTGTTGTTTTAAACACTTACTTTCCTAAATTTTCTAATTATACAATATACTGGCATTTATCTAACTTATTCATGTTCGTGCAGGTGGGTTGACAGAAAACGACTTCATACTTGCAGCTAAGATCGATAAGCTTGATGTGCTTGACCTACTTAGACGGAAGCTTTCAGATTGAGTCAACAATGCTAAGGAGTATTAACTGTCTATTGGCAGTAATATTTTCTTTTAAAATGGAGCATACCACATAGCATCGACTTCTGTTTTCAGTCTAGCATTTTCATTTCTATATTTGCCTAAAGCTTCGTAGAAAATCTTTGGAATGATCCTTTACACTCGCTCAACGGCCTGTTGATGCTCACACTTTACGTATTTGAGTTACAAAAGTGTTGACAACTTTTTTTTTTTTAATAAGACCAGAGTAAATATGTTTGTATCTGTATTAGATAATAATAAAAAGTTACTTTTTGCAACGTTATTGGTTGTCTTTGCAGTGAATGTATTTTCTGAATAATGTCATTGGAAATGTTAATCATTATTTTTTAAAATACATAAATCATGTCAGATATTTTGTTTAGATAAATGTGTACTCTTAATTTTTTTTTTTTTTATGCTAACGTATATTAGTTACCTACCTCTTAGAAGTATTTATGTACACAATCAGAATATTCGCGACTTGATCTGATTTTTTATAAATGTTGTAAATTTTTTTATATGATTGTTGTTTATTCCAATTTTTAATTTTCTATTATATTTATAAATAAGTTACATAATTTTATAAATAAAAATTATAATATAAATTTGTTTTCAGTATAATATATTATAAGTAAAATATAATTAAGACATAAAACAATTTTTAAGAGACATAATTCCAACCTAGTCCAAAATCTAATAACAAAGCCGAAGACAATAATTCTTATCATTCACATACACGAAAGCTTGAACAAACAACAATTACTTAAATTGGAGCAACACTTTGGATTATTTAATGATATAATTACTAATAGAATTATTGCTTAATTATGTCACAACATGTAAAGTTGTTCTAAGATATGTTATAATCTGTCCTTCATGGAGTTGCTATTCAGGCTCTCCAATCTTCATTTTCCTGTTAAATATCAAGAGAAATAATATACATAAAAAAGGAATATTAGTTTAAATGAAAAAAATTACCGGTTCTCTTTCAAATCAAGCACATCTTGCATATTCTAATGATAGATTTAGCTCCTGGTCTAATAACTAGTGCAAACTTTTAGTCACAAACACACAACATACCATAAAAGAATACAATACAAGCCCCTATTTTCTCCAGTTTCTTGCAATAAACCAAGGAAAGACAAGCATGCACATCTTATTTTTGACATGAAGAAAATATTTAAGAAAAATACTCATTGGAGGCAACAAATATGGGTTGCAATCTTTGATACACCTCTTCATTGTTTGTCCAATCCAACTCAGCCCACCACTCTTGCTGCCCTTTAACGGACTTTAAGTTGACTGCATTGCCACTGTCTAGTGGTAAAGTTTTCAACTCTGGACAATTATGTATCCTTAACAGCTCCAAAGAGGACCAAGCCGATGTATGAACTGAGCAAATAGTTTTGAATTTAGGCAAGTTAACTAGTAGAAGCATTTCTAGTTTTGGAAGCACATCCCTTTCTCTTTCAATGTTTTCTGTGATAAGTTTTTCAATTTTTGAGCAATCTTCAAGTTTCAGCTTCTGAAGTTCTGAAAAATGTTCAATTGCTCCATTACTGAAGATTTCACTCAGTGTTGGACAATTTTTCAATGACACAGTTTGTAATTTGGAAAAGGTTCCACTGTGCAAAGGACCTCTAAAAGCACATTTTAAATTGAGCAAGTTTTCCAAATAAAGTTGCTCCAAATTTGGTAAGATGACTCTTGTTTCTATTTTCATTCCATTCATGGCATTGCTACTTGTTTCACCAGACACAATAGTCAAAACTTTGTTGCATTTTTTAATCAAAAGACCGCGAATGCGTTCCAAACACACTATGCTAGCAAAATTTGACAATTCCTTGATATCTTTGTGGCAAACTAATTCAAATGCATCAGTTCTTGGTAGTACCTCAATAATTGCCGAGTCATCCTTCTGTCCACCATTGCAGTACCTCAAATAATTAGTAATTTTATATTCAAAAGATTCAAGTATTTGAGGTCGCCTTGAGTTCTCGCATCCTACAAAAAATCTAAATGAATTCTGCTGTTTATGCCATGATTTACTTCTTGAAAGAAATTCTCCAAGAATGATTGAGGAGGGAAAACAACATCTGAGATGAGTTACATTTTCCAAAGAAGCCACATGTTGCAGAACATTTTTTGCATCATTGCACCACTGTTCATAGGATATGACTTGAATAGTTAATTCTTCCAATCTATGAAGCTTTGAAATCACATGAACATTTTGAGCTTCATTATCTTCACTTGCAATGAATGGGATTCGCAGGCATCTTAGATTAGTCAAACATCCAATTTGAAGAGGTATGAAAGTTACTTTAGTATCTCGTATGTCAAGGACCTCTAGAAATTGAAGTAATCCTATTTCAGATGATAGTGACTCCATTAGCTCGCACCTGTTCAAGAATAAACCCCGTAGACCAGTCAAGTTTGAGAGAGATGATGGCAGTTGTGTAATCATGCTACTATACAAGTCTAACAGAAGTAGACTGCTCATGTTCTCAAAGAAACTCTCTGGTAGTGAAGTTAGTTTTGAATTTTTTCTCAGCAACAATGTCAAAATCATGCTGCAATCTTGGCTTGTTGGTAAATCAAGTAGTTGTCTCAGAGAGACCCACCTAGCCTGCTGCCAAGCTCTTGAATTTGAGAGATTTTCAGATTCGTCACCATCTTGGAGATAAAAGCTACACTCTGGATCTTTAGAGGATATGTGTAATGCAAGTTGTCTCATGCAATGATTCATGTTGACATACATCATTGCTTCCCCTTTCTCTAATAGAGAGACATTAGCAAGATGCTCTAATATGTCAATACCACAATTTCGTGCTCTTTGATACGACCTTTTGTCATTGATATCACCAAGTAAACCTTGCGCTGCCCAACACTCCACTAAGTAATCTGAGTAAACCTTGCTATCTGCAGGATACAGTGAAGTGTATAGGAAACATTTCTGCTTCATTTTATCATTGAGTTCATCATAACAAAATTTCAGACATGAGTACAACTCTTCTAACCCTTGAGTTTGAAGTTCTGGCCATGGTTTAAGATCTTCAAGCCCTGCCCACCAACTAGAAGCAGACTCTTTCAATTTGAAAGAGTTTGCTATATTGTAAATGAGAAGTGGAAGACGAGAGCATCTTTTGCATACAAGTTTTGCTGTAGGCTGAATGTCAGGGGAATCAATCTTAGGATTAAAGGCATGGACAGTATCTCTAAACATCTTCCATGCTTCCTCGGGAGATAGCTCCATGACTTTGATGACCCTCTGCACCCTATTCAACTTATAAACCATAGGGAATCGAGTGGCAATCACCACCTTACTGTCATTGTTATTATCTCTTGGGATACCCAACTGCTCCAAATTGATGGCATCCTCAACCTCATCCAAAATCAATAGATACTTCTTCTTCTCTAGTTCTTTGTGTATTCTTCTTGCAATATCATCACTATGCTCCTTGTTGGTTTCTTTCTCCAGTATCAACCGATGAGCAATCTTCTCTTGAAGCTTATGATTCTCAGCTGTAACTTTCACAAAAATGACAATTTCAAAGAGTCTAGCTACCTCTTCATTGTTGTTTAGGTTCCGCATTATTGTTGTTTTCCCCACTCCTTTTGTACCACACACTCCAATGACTTTGACCTTATTATTTTTTAGCAAACCTAGGATATTATCCAAGGCGCCTTGAAGGGTTGGATATCCACTTATCTGTGGAACATTCAACTCCCTTAATACAGGCTCAGGTGGTTTATCAACAAGAAAATCTCTTAAACATTCATCCTTCATAAGTTCACGAACACAGTTGCACTTCTTCTCCATCTCTTCACTCAGACTGGAACGTCGTTGAAGGAGCCACCAGGGTAACATGTTCTCTTCATATTTAACTTTCAGCTTCTGCACTTCTTCTGTGACATCTGATACCCTGTTTCTCCACAGTTTGTAGGCATTAGTGGTATCTCTGTGTTTGTTTCTTTGAGCCTCCATCTCTTTATCCTTCTTTATTGCTTGTAGCATCTCCATATCTTTGACCAAAATTCCATAATTGTCCTCTAGATTTTTGGAAGATGCAAATTTAGATAAAATTTTAGCATATACTGTTCCAACCCCAAGTGGTCTCATGTCTCCAACAAGAGGACCCACAAGTTCAATCTCAGACATTATCTTGAAAGCCTACAAAATTTTAACAAATAAAATAAAATAAGTTAATAATTATATGAATTTAAAACTACTTTACATTGTCCATACACAACCAGAAATTCTATGCATCAGCAGTGTAGGATTTTGAAGCATAAACAAACACATAAGTTTTATTCAATATGAATATGAAACACTCCACAACTTCAACACGTTAAAACTAATGATTCATCCACTTACTAATCATCATTTAACATTTATGCTCCTCGTGTTAGCTCTCTTACAGTAAAAATAATTCAGATATCGACAATTACACATCCATGAAGGTTAAAATCACTCAATTGAATAGCAATCATTAAGAAGCACAAAAGGGTATCATTTATATATATATATATATATATATATATATATATATAGGTTTTACGAATGTTTTAAGGTGGAAGTAGCACGTAGTAACTTATGAAACTGATATGCAGAATGAAATTAATTAAGACAAGGGTGAATATCAGAATTGGGATCTATCTGCGAGGGAAACATAAAAGAACCAGAGATAAGAAAGATTAATGTGCACCTTTTTGCCAACAGTTAAGATTTGGAATCTGTGTCGGCAGTTAAGAAAAAGGAATCATGTGTGTCTACTTCTGCCAGCAGTTGTTGTGCATAGATTGTCCTGATTTTGCAAAATGATGGATACGCTTGCTTTATGATTGCTTTGGTTTATGATTTACTTAGTTTCAAGTCAACGCATGAGCAAGTCTATGGTGCCTAATATAATTAGTAAACACAAATTTAAAAAACATAATTTAAGAAATTCTATAAGATGTTTTTACAAATTAATTTTTATATAAATCAACTTTAACTTCGTAAAAAATTACTTCTTCTACTTAAATGTAAATCCTGGAGGAGGTCATGCAAAACAAACTAAATTAGATTATTTTGTAATACCTTTATCCGTTTCTTTAAAAAATTTGTACCTTTACCTTTTTTTTTCAAAAAAATATAAAATCTATTAGTCTACTTAAATTTTTTTTTTTTTTTATATTCATACCTATAGGTATTGGAACATTCCTCATTGTTCTCAACTTTATCATTTAATCTAATTTTAAAAACAATTTAATAAATTTTCGCTAAGTTGTTTTAAATTCTTTTATAAGAAAATCTTATAATATATTTTAAATTTTAAATCATGTTCCCTTTTGAAGGCCTTTCGCCCCCTTTGTATTAGGGTTCGGGTGAAGAGTTGAAACCTATTGTCAAAATATTCAAAATTATTATCTGAGATAGTCTACTTCGCTATTTTTCAGAACAAAACCTCAGATGTATTTCTTACTTTTTGTGTAGTTGTGAGAATATTCCTCAATCAATTATTTTCTTCAAAGGATAGAGTAACAAAATGACTCAGAAAGTATCGGCTACTTTGTAAAAAAACAAAACAATCTATTGATGGTTCTTGATTTCGTCTTAGCAGATGGAAAAGAGAAAGTGGTGGGATTCTTCAATTAATTCGTTTTTTTTTTCAATGAATCTTTTATTCTTAATATCAACTATCAAGAAATGATACTGGAAAATTAAAACAAAATACTAATTAATTTTATTAGAATAACTATTTTTTATTCAAGACATGGAAATTAAAGTCTTTGAAAATGTTACACTAAAGTTAAACATGAAAATCTTTAATAAATATTCCAAGACATATTTACAGTCAACTACCACGGCAACAGTGTTTACCAATCTGCAGAAGCAGGTACTAGAATATAAACAAAGTCCAAAAGAAATTGACTACTAAGATTGGAACATATGAACCACTGCATGGAGTTAATTCTGATCCATGCGATATTTAATTAACTCTGATCTAATATCTGTTATCACATCCTCTGCCTCATTCAGTTGTGCTTCCAGTTCTGCGATCTTTCTTTTATTCTTTGTTGAGGTCTCTGCCTCGCTTTTCTATTCATAACAATATTTTAAAGATGTGGCATTCATATGAAATATGAAAATAAAAACGCACACAAAGTGGAGGCATAATTTTATAATGTTTAAAAACAGAATTGGGAGAATTTGACAAGATTGAAGACGAGGAAGAAGGAAAGAAATCTAAGGTAGAACAACACAATAGTATTCTAATCCCAAAAATAACAAACACAAAACCCCAAATGTACGGTAATCTTTAAATGGTCAGAACTCAACCGTCCTCTCCTTTAACTGCCGACAAATCCCAACTCAGTAGCCAAGTATGATGATAGTAATATAAATATATCTAGGACAACTTATATATAATTTTATAGGACCTATTTGTACTGCCCTTCTATTATAATTAGAATTTCATCTTGATAACATGTGAAAGTTTACATTAAAAGATTATCCATTCTATGAGATAAAATTACAATTATAAATAGAGAACACAAACAACACCTACAGAACTTTATACAAATTTCATCCTAAAATCTAAACAACTCGTGGAAGGCCACCTACGATAAAGCCTCAATATATATATATATATATATATATATATATATAGATAGATAGATAGATAGATATCAAGGTCTAACTGTAAAAATTGATAAAATCTTGCCAATTAGTCCGTAAAAACCAATTGTTGAGACCCAAGGTCAGATCTTTTGGTATGCAGAAAATCATTTGAATACTTCTTATGATTCAAAAACATTACTAATGAAAATTTGTATCTGACTCTCACATATTAAAAATTTATTTATTTCAAAATTAGAGTCGACTTAAACCAATGTATATAATATTGAACATCCAACAATCTTTTATACTTACTGGAGGAAGATACTGAGACAATGCAGCCTGGATGGTGGTTTGAACCTGACAGCTGATCTCCTGCATCTCATTTTGACGATCCAAGAGATGACCCTCTATCTCTGTGCGTTTCTGCCGCTCATCCTCTAGGTAGGACTCAACCATAACAAGTCTAGCTCTTATTTCATCGCATTCTTTCCTAGCATTCTCTGTCTCTCTCTTCTGGGCATCTAATTCAGCCTGCAGCTGTTGAATTTTACTGGAACTTGATGATGATGACCTTAGTCCTGCTCCGAAAGGACCAACACCTTGCATATATGATCTCTTTCCAACCAATGTCTTGAAGGCAGTATTAATTATTTCTTCTTCATTTGTTTCCCCCACTTCCTCTATTTGGCATCTTTTCTCATTAATTTGTTCAGCAACTTTGTCCTACAAACAATTGGTCATTTAGAAAAGACAGTGAACATCAGATCAAATTATATATAAGAAATATAGCAGTAATCTAAAATGCAATTACATTGATTTCCTTAGATGCTTCGTCAATCCATTCCCCATTTTCCTTTCTGTGTGTCAACTGCCAAAAAGTTTGCATATCGGGCTCCATTCCCGTCACTGGATCACGCTGTTAATATTATATGCTTATTAAACATTGTACAGAAAAAGGTCATCCAATTGGATGTGACAGTCATAAGAACAAACATCGAGTTAAGCAGAAATCTCACTGCATCATAGCTGATTGCCATAAAGGATTTTGACCCAGTAGTATGTTTTGTACGCTGTTTTGCCTTATTTGCCTTGTTTTTTGCACTCATTATCTGAAGATTGACATAGAGCAAGTCATGAAATTTATTGACATTCTTGGGGAAGGATGGTGTATAGACGAGCATAAATAGTTATACCTCAAAATACGGGCTGCTAAAATAATCAACCAAGAATTGCCAATCAGAATCATTGATATCATCAGGGACATGCTTCAAGGCCTCTTCCTTTGTCTCGAATTTTAAGTAGTAATCACGAAGCCTGGAGCGCCAATTCTGATATAAACGGCCTGCTTCATGTAGAATAGCCTTCCGTACCATATCCGTATCTGGAAGTCTCCAATTATTCTGCTAACAAAAATTGAACCAAAGAATATAATATATCCACATATGCACACGCATATTTAAATAGATTAATAGAAGAAATGAAGGAAAAAACAGAACAAATGGAGCAGCCTTACAGACAACAAGATGGAATTTCATTTAAAGCACACATAACCATAAAGAAGAGAACGAGCTAGAATGATAGAAACCTGATACATTGTTACAAAGAATAAGGTAATTGACCCTTCAACACTACCTAACTTACATAACATTAAGGGTCTGCACCTCCCTAGACCAAAGGCCTCAATTCTCATACAAATAGACAAGATCTTCCCCTTTGGTCTCTCTCTTATTCTATTTAAGATCAAACTCAAGTGTTATTCTTTAGGAGCTTGTAGATTTCTTCTCTAATTGAAATTAGTTGACCTTGATAACATATCGTGACCGTTTATATGTTGTTTATTAAGTTGATTGGAGAACAAATTTTAAACATGTGATACTCTTCACTGATTTTAATTATCCAAGTACTAATTAGTAATTATGACTAACTAACTAATGGATTATCTAACATAGAAGGAAGCTCGAGTGAGAACATTAGAATACTACATAAATGAGAAGCTTCTTTATGGACAACAAGATAAGATTTCAATTAAAGTGTGCATAGACACAAATACAATGGAGTACTCAAAATGAATTATATTACACTAAATGAATTTTCACAAGGCTACAAACACATGTTTGCTTTAATACCTTGTACAGAGATAGTCACATGATTAACAGTACAACAAACAAAATTACAAATAGAGAGCCTATGTAAGTAAAGAAAGAGAAGAATGCAATAGCATGGGCTAAAGTATCTTCTTGTGTCAGAAAATAAAAGACTTGGATAAATAATGACAAAGTAATATCATGATCCAGACATTCCTTCTAATTGAATTTGGTTAAAACCATTTGCTCAAAGGTAAATTTACTTCTCTCTTTGCATATTAGTTAAATAAGCCTCATCCCCACGTAAGCAAAATCATGGAATGACACCCACAAACCAGCCAAAAAAGCCCAAATATATCCTTTAAAGGATAGCATCATCAAACATCATTTACAAGTCATGATTAAAATCAAACATAATCAATGTCGGAACATACCAGAATATTTTGCACTATTGTATCCCTAGTACTTTGCGGAACCTTCTTCCACTGGCGCACATTAAGACGTGCATTCTGGCGTACAATAAGAGACAGATCAGTAATGAAATCATTGCGGCCTGGACCCACTGCCACCAACTTTGTAGGATGAATGATAACATCCAACTTTCCATCTGCACTCTGTTGACGCTTCATTTGAAGTGACAATCCTCTTGTCTGTCCTCTTCCCTTTTTTTTATTAGGCTTGACTATTGTATCTGAAACACAAAAAAATAAAACAAGAGAAGTGTCACATAGAGCCTTACAGCCAGAAAGAATAGCCATCATTTAAATGAACACATCCAACTTTCCATCAGCATTTTGTTGATGGTTCTCTTGATTTATTGACTCTCTTGGTTGCCATAATGCCCTTTTCCTAGGCTCGTCAACTTCATCTTAAGCATACACAAACAAAAAAGGAATGAAAAGAAGTCAGTTGTCATTGAAATAGTAATACAGAAGAGCCAGCGAAGTTAAAAACTGCAACTGAATTATTTAAGACAAATTAACAGCATGTTTTAGTAAATGTTTTGGTGCCTCAGAATTAATTTTTCCGAAGCAATGCATGCCTTATGCATTGAAGATGCTTCAGAAGGTGTGCCCAAACGTGAACAAAGTATGTTTTGCTTTTGGGTATAAAACGTTATATTTTTAAGGGAAAAACTGAAAAACATGCCATTTTCTTTTTGCCCATAGCATATTATCCAGACCCTTTTTTTTCCAGACAAACTTAAATATGCCTTTAATTAGATAAAAGTGGGTATTTAGGTAATAAAGAAGACAATGAAACATATACTAATCAGTAGTACCAGTTTCCTGCTCCTCCTTACATCGGAGACTGACTTCCATTATATTTGATGGATTGTTATAGAAGTTCTCACAATCAGCATTCTCTTGACAGAACTGCCCCGACCCTTTTGATTGTTCTTGTCCATTTCTGTTGGGCATAACTGTATCTATATACAAGAAATATTGAATATACGACATCGTTTAGTGTACATGTTCTCTTCAATCTACCGACCCGAAGACACTGAGAAAAAAATATGATGATGTACTAAATTGAATGTAGGTAACACAAAAGGGAGAAGTAGAGAGAGACAGACAGAAACCAGTTAAGAACTCTCTTCTTAACACAATAACTCATGGCATTACGTTAATAAACATACCTAGCAAATAAATGAATAAATATTTCGTATTTCCTAATATCATTACCAAAAAAATATTATAAAAGACAAAAGTTAGACTTACTATCACAGCTATTTTACCATTGGACAAGCTTCTTGATATGATCAAACATTATATTTGTCATGGGCAAATAATTTTTATATTAGCATGTGGTCCCAATATCAATACTAATCCATCAAATTTGCTAATAAAATAAGAATTATATGGAATAGAGAAAAGAAGAAATGAAATTAACAAAAATGAGAGAAATCAGAACCCAGGTATAATACATATACCTGCATCTTCAAGTTCTTCACAGTCAAAACCAACTTCAAGCATATCAGATGGATGAATGCGATTATTCAAGTTGCTGTGCCCACTCTCTTGACAATTCTGAGCTTGTGATCCTTTTGGTCGTCCCCGTCCTTTTTTCTTTGGCATACTGGTACCTGAATCACAAATTAATATATAAGAACGGTAAGCATATGCTTCTGAAAACAAAAAAAGAAACAGTAAAAAATACAACTAGAAAGGATAATAAGATAAGGTCAATCTATGTGTACCTCCCTCCTGTTCCTCAATAAAGTCAGGATCAGCTTTCACCACATTCAAGGGAGTATTTGGTATGACCAATTCACCATCTTGACTCTCTTTAACCTTCTTCTGAACCCTGGACCCTTTTGGTCGTCCTCTTCCTTTTCTCTTTGGCATGGCAACCTAAAATGAATTCTAGAAAAGGAAAATCAGAAACAAGAGCAGCACATCATGTTCTCTCATAAAGGAGAACCTTAGTCCCCCTGTTTAAAGAGACATTTGGCACCCATAATCATTTCACTTCACCAGCCTATAGAACAACCATTTACAAACAGCTGCACTGTATTCAATTTCTAATTCTCCACATTCTACACAGATAACTACACATATAATTGCTCTTACAACCCACCAAAAGTTTAATTTAGAACAAATTTAATCCAGCCACGCATCAAAACTACTCTCGGACATCCAGGCTGCAAACAGATAAGCAGTTATCTTCAAATAATTATACTTTATTAGCAAGGGAGTGTATCAGGTGAGCACACTAGGTCATTTCGAGCAATGATCATTTAATTACAACCAATACATTAAAATTAATGATTCTGATTGCATCTTTAACTACAAATTATGCCCAATCTTTTACCTAAATGGAAAAAAATAGTTTTGAAATTGTACTTAATTAAATACACAATCTGAAACGTTAATTATAACCTAATCGTTGTACTTCATGTTCTCATTTTCCACACCAACACAAAGTTATTCTCTCGTGATTTGGTCTCAGCAAAATATGCAATAGATGGACGAGAAAATAAAAATGTATGCTCTATTTAAGGAGATGATAAATAATGCAACATCTTATAACAATAAACAATGGAATATTCATCCTCATTCAACAACAAAACTTAAACAGAATGAACAGTAAAAGAAAATGTTCTTCACTACAACTATTACTACTAATATAAAACGAAGTCACCTCCACCATCGCATAGAGGATAAGCTTCAAAATTAGAAGGCAACTATAAACAGTGAAAACTACTTCTATGACTCTCATAAAAGATTTATTTTATTTTATTTTACTTACATGACATATTTATTCCATAAACCCACAACGGAAGTCCCATATACTAGAAGAAGCAACAAAAATAGGGAATTTCATATTTTTTCTAAATGAAAACGACAAAGGAAGCAACAAAACGAGGAATGTTTCTTCGTTTTGTTGTCGAATGCATGGTATTCATAACAGTAATTCCTACGTAAACTTTAGTGGTAGGTTTAGTCGTGTTGACAAAAATTGAGAAGCATGCAATGGTGGGGAAGTGCAGAAGAGACTTACCGGCAGAAGATGGCGGTGACCGGAGAAGGCGATCGACGATCAGCCACGAAAATCGGGTTGTGAATGCGCCGAAGGGTTATTTATTTATTTACACAGACAAGGCGAAACTCATAAATCACCTAAAGAGAAAAAGTAAAAACGAAATAGAATTTAAGGAAAAAAAAAACTATGAATTTCACATTTTACGATTTTAATTTTAATATATTCTAATTAAATTTCTTATGCATTGTAACTAAAAATATTAAAATAAAAATAACGGCGTTTAAATTTTTAAAACGCTTTTGTGGTACTCTAATTTTTATTTAAAAAATAATAAATAAATTAAATATGCAAATTTGAAATCTTTGTTGATAAAATATGAAGAAAGAAAAAAAAACACTTGCATACTAATTGATCGATAAAATGTATAATTAAATCACAAATTTTTAAAAGCTCGATGTCTTCTCTAAATATTTAAAATTTTTTAATATAAAATTTTGAATATTCAAAATTTCTTAAATGTGCAACACTAGTTGGGTTACTGTTTACTCATTTTCAAAATTATTTCTTTGAAAAAAAAATTAAAAAAAAATATATATATATATATATATATATATATATATATATATATGTATATCATTATTTATGGCATGAACAAACACTATTCTACAAACAAACGAAATTTTAGTTCTTGTAACGAAAAAAAAATCCAAAACTAATGGAACTTTGAACCAAATCATCAATTTCAAGAAAAATAAATTAAAAACAGTAAAAATGATTATATCGAGACTAAGATGGTAATGATAATAATTACGATCATAATTATAATTATAATAATAAAGATGATAAGTGATACAAAATTTAGAATAATAATTTTAAAAATATAATTATTATCATATTGATTTTAATAATAAAGATGATAATAGTGATAAAAAAAACATTTATCGTTAGCTAAAAAGATTATCGAGATAATAGTCAGAAATTAAAATTACGTTTAAAAAGCACTCAAATACATACAAGTATGTACATTGATATCCATTGTAATTTAAATTGTTAAATTTGTTATTTCAATAATAAAGGTTAAACATAGCATTTTTATTTTTCAATGCAAATTATTATATTAATATGTCATTGCCATATCATTTACTAACAACATATTTGGATTACATCATTGTCAACAATATTTTTGGAAATAAAATTATAGAGGCATAAAGCTATGATTGGTAAAAAGATACATGAATTTAAAGTGAAAACGAGAAATAATACATTAGAATAAACACCAATATTAGTTACTCTCAAGCTTATATTATCTTCTTAAGTATCATCACTAGACTTCTAACGTTAAAAAGAACTTAGATTAAACCTTTTTATATTAATCTTAATAAATTTATGTATTTTAATAAAGTTTTATTTCTTTTGAAATATATTTTGTTTTTTTATTATTTAATGTTTATGTCTTATATTATTTACTTTATTTTTAATAATATACCCATCCTTGTTTATGTTTTTATTATTTACTTTCTTTTTTAATAGTATGGTATTTTTTAAAAATTGTACGTTCATGCTATTTAATTTATTTATAGAATTTTATGAATTCTTTACTCTTTTATATTTCTATTATTTAATTTATTTTTAATAATAATTTGATCTTTTTTAATCCTTTAATTTATTTTGAAATATGATTTGTTTATTAGAATATTTGAATTGTGATCATAGAAATGATATGTAACGAATTTTTTTTTCATACTGTAGATAACTTCAATCATATATTTTAAAATTTTTTTTCCTTTCTTTCTATAACGTCGATTATCATACATTAAGAATGATATAATATCTAGGACTAATAGGTAGTGTCAGTCCGCTTATTGAATTCGATGGGTTGACCTACTCATCTATTTTTAAAAAATATTTATATATTAAAATTACAATTAAATATTATTTTTATCATATTATTAATATATATATATATATATATATTTTTTTTAAATTATTAATTATAATTTAATACTTTAAGTTATAAATATAATAATTTTTTAATTTATCTAATAAAAATATTAATTAATCAATAAAAACTTACATATTATTTATATTTATATATAATATTAACAAACTTTTTTGAGACAAATTAGATTATGTAAATATAAATAATATTAACAAACTTTTTTGAGACGAATTAGATTATGTAACTCATCTCCATTTTTAACATAGTAAAGAGAGAGTAAAACACCACGGACTGATCCATCCCGGGCATGATAAAATATTATTGACTAGTTCAAAATCAAGATAGAAATAATACAAATTTCATACTAACTCCAGTTAGAAATTACAAGTTATTAAGTTTCCATTCATCTCTGATACTTGGATTAATCTTCCAGCATTCTCTGATCTTCACTCGTCTCTTCTTGTTGTATAGATGATGCCGATTCTGGTTTTGTTCTATAACTATTCTGTTTTTGTAAAAACTCTGCCACAAACCCACTTTCAGTGATCAAATTCTGTGCTAAGGGGCAAGTATGCATTCCTATGTAGGTAACCTCCCTTGTTCTTGTGTCTTCATCTAACATTTGAACGTGTTTAAGTGCCCGGCACCCATGTGCATATTTATGTGTGCATCTGTAATATTCTCTGCAACGCAAAACAGTAGTTGTCAATTTTTGGGTAAAACTAGAAGATAACTTCTTTATATATGTTCTTAATACAAACATTAGAGTGGCTCAGTTATTGTGGTACCAATAGCAAATAAATATATAGATGGAAACCCTTTTTGTTTGATGCATTGAGAGGAAGTTGTTGGGAGAAGAAACCTACATTTGTCTCTTATTATAGTAAAGTCAATATCCAAACATAAAGAACGAGATGTTTTCTGGAGAGATTGTGGTTACTCTTGGTTTAAATTTTTGGAAACTAACTAGATGATTTTTTAAGTTACCAGGTTCCAAACCCCGACACTAACTAAATGATGTTTTCATGCTTGTCACAATCAAATCAAATGGAGATTATATAAGCATATCCTACAAAAAATGTTAATTAAACGTGTTCAATTCATAACAAGGAAAAGCTAAATTAGAACAGAGATTTGAACTAACCTTGGAAACTTGGCTCCTAGTATATCCTTTTGCCCATATTTTCTCCAGGTAAATCCATCATCTAAAGACCCTTCTTTACCGTTTAGTATCACTTTTTTCACAACTTCATGTCTTCTTTTTGTAGGATCCTGTTAATTGTCATTACAAAAAATAAAAACCACAATAGGTTTTTATTCAACATGTTAGGTTAATGAAAATTAATCTTCAAGACCACAGAGACACCTCTCGAGGAGACATCTTCACTTAACATGTGTATAAGTATCACATGTTAGAATTAAGACTTAATACAATGATACATAATTTTGGTTTGAATAAAATGCTTTTTCATTAAGCATTAAATCTCAACCAACCCTACCTTAATTGGATCTGTTCAAATTAGAGGTACTCATGAATCGATTCGGATCAAAATTGAAATAAAATCTGAACTATTAAACTTTTTATGGTTTAGATTAGTTCGGATTTTCTGTATAAAATTATAGAATTCAAACCAAAATAACCAGGTCAAGAATATGTTAGTTCGGTTGGGACAAATTGAACCTCTTGCTATTTGAGGGAAAAAAAACTATATTGTTTTGTCTAAAATTTTTCACATAATTTTGTTATTAAAATGTATGAAATGAACAACATATTTCGTTATAATTAGTTTACATAAAAAATATAAAATAAATATATAATTATACCATTAAACTCCATGCATAATAATTACTAATAAAAAAAATTGCATAACGGCTTTTTCGAGTTCACCATACCAAACAAATCACCCTAAGATTGATCTAATTGGGCTAAAGGTTCAAACTAATTAAATTAAAACTGTGTTATGTGAAATCGTATCTCATAGAATGACTTTCTTAAATATGTAATTTTGAAAAAAAATTATCTCATTCTCGTAAAAAGTAAAAAAAAAAAAAAAATACACCAAGAAAACAAAAAATGAGTAATCCTAAAAAAATAAATGTGGCCTACATTACATCCACGAGAGAATGCAACTTAACTATGAAACAAGAATACAGCACAAGATATACAACCGAAAACCCCTAGGTTGTTGCTCCCTTATTGTTCAAAAAGAACTTCCACCAATCCCAAGCTTTATACTTTCTACCAAGTTTGATTCCCAAGTGCAAAATGGGTTTTTCACGTTACCTAATTCTTGTCGGCCCCAAAAATAACCGACTTAAAAAAACGCAGTAACATTTTTGTAAATAAAGGACTCTACTTTTATGTCAGATCTCTTAGAGACCGACGTAAAAGCTACTTTTTACATTGAGTGGCTCCCTAACCGACATAAAAAGTGGCTTTTACGTCAATTTCTATGAGATCTGACATAAAAGTTGCATTTTAATCGTCCAAACGCTTTTTTTTTTCCTCTTTCGCGCGAGGGTTTTCGAGTGACGATGACGGCAACGGCCAAAACAACTTTTCTCAATATACATTTCGATCATAGTAAGTGATGAAAACACTTTCATTGTGTGTCATTTGTGGTTAGTGACGATGGCGGCAATGACCAAAGCTCCTCTCAACACGTTTCTCCCCAATTGAATTTGAGTTTCAGAGCATTTTTTGTATATTTGAGGTTAGTGTTCTATATGTCTCGTCTCCTCTTTTATATTGAAATTGAATGTTTTCACTGGATTGTTATTGAAATTGAACTGTTGTAGTTTATAATTATCCATTTATGCGTTTGAATCCTATGTTTTTTGTTGTTCTTGTAGTTTATATATTTCTGTATATAGGGGGTTTAGGGTTTTATGATGAAAAGAAAATAAAGAAGAGAAGGCAAATGACCGAAGGGGATTTGTCCCAACAGTTTTTCTAAAATATGTTCTTAAACGCATGTAATAGACAAAAGTGTGTGCAAATATAACTGATTATTGGACAGAGTTAATTGTTTTCAACATTTGTTAAGTTCATTTACCTTTATGTGCATTACATGTTAACAGGAGTCAAATTAATGCTTCAAGTATTTCAAGATTCATCTATCTTCACTATCGAACATGATATTACACAAATTAGAGAACAAAGAACAAAGTTTTTCGTTCAACATTTCTAATACCTAATTTGTAGGTTATTATTTGTATTGTATTATGTAGTTTAACATTTAGATAACTTAGTTTTTTTATTAGTTTAGACTTTGTATTAGTTTAGTTTTGTAATGTTTACTTTTAAGTATTATATTATATTGTTATATTTTTGAATTATTGTCCATTGAAATCTGGACTTGCTGTAAGAAAAAAAAAACGAAATTTACGTTAGTTATTATATCTGACATAAATTTACGACTCCCGTATTAACATTAGACTTGTTATGTCCAACGTAAATTTACGTTTCACGTATAAAGATCAAAATAACAAACGTAAAAGTCTTATTTTGTACTAATGATTCTTCCCCTTTCTCCTCTACTTACCCTAGTGTTTACAAGTGTTTCTCACTTTTGTCACACCTAATAAAGAACCCAAACCCATTGAACCATGTATATAGAGCTAAGTCACTCAAACTTTATAATCTTGAAAAGACAATTGCTTCACAAAACACAAAGGACGTGCATTAACATATTTTTTAATTTAATGTGGTGTAACTTTCAATTGAAAAATTTTCCCCATTTTTCCTTCATTCTCCTCTAGCATCAACCCATTCTCATGGTTTTCCTCTTTAGCCAAAAACCTCTATGGTCAACCCCACAACCTCCTTGATATGACAAAGACACAACTTGTTCACTTAGCCTCACATGGCAACATTTGCATCAAGAGCCATATGAGAATGGATTGTCAACCACCTATTAGAAGTCATCTAGATTCATGTTCTTAAATGATCTCAAAAGGCACCTACCAATGGCTATATACATCAACTTTCGTGGTTGACCAGTCAATAAAAAACATGAGTGCATGATAGAATGATAGAGAACTAAGAAAAGGCTTGAGGTTACATCAGAGTTAAATCATAGATAAGGATACTTTACATTGGTTGAACTTTTGTTATTGCTTTTGTTAGGATCTCTAACATTAGTGTTGTATATTATTGAGAAGGGCTAACATAGTGGCAGATCTTCTTGGGAACTGAGGGGAACCGTGGCCCCTCCAAAGTTTTGTAACTCCCATATAATTTATGATTTTGTCCCCCCAAATTTAATGAACATTTAATATATTTACTTGTATATTTACAATTTTATCCTCACAGCCCCTCCTCAGTTTTGTAACTCTCATAAAATTTATGATTTTGTCCCTCTTAAACTTAATGATCATTTAATATATTTAAGTATATATTTACAATTTTATCCTTTCACCCTTTCATCTTCTTACTTCATTTTATATTTATTTATTATTTATTAATAATATATTATTTGGCCCCTCCAAGATCAATGATCAAGATCCGCCACTATTGGCTTGGTATTCACAAATGAGACGTCAAGTAACTATATATATAAAAAAACATAATATCATTTTCAATAAAAAAACCTTAAAATATTAAATTTAAGGATTTTACTTATTATTTATGTTATTTAATTTCATCATTTCTACTCAATGTAAGACTTCAATACACTTGAATTCTAACATTCCCATCAAGTGTGATCCTAGGGTCGTTGTTCATCTCAATTAAACACATTTTACAAACCAATACCTTTTTTTCGTACTTGACCAAGCTTGTCATCAGACAAATTATGGACTTTGATACCACTGTTGGGTATTTCTGAGGAGGGTTAACATTGGCCCAATATTCATGAATGAAACACTATATAATCATATAAGAAAATATGATATCACCTTTAACCCAAAATCTTGAGACATTAGATTTGTGGTTCTTTCTTACTTATATGTTATTCAATTTTATCATTTCTACCCAATATTAGACTTCAAGACACATTTAAATTCTAACCACTTCTTGATTGGTTGGTTGAGGGTTCTTCTAATAAAAACTACAGGAGTATGAGTGGATAAATACAAGCATACACATTATAGATAAATAAACACATAAAAAGTGATTAAGATTCATTGATTTCTATTCTTTGTGTCAAAGGAGGTATGTATTATTCTTCTTATCATAGAAATGATGGAGGTTATAGGAAAGATTATAGGAGAAATCAAACTTAGTTGAGAGAGGAAACTATAGAGGAGACAAAAGGGAGAAGATAATAAAGAGGATAGTATGGAAGGTGAGAAACATAAATCCCTAATTTTAAAGAGAAAATGATAAGGAAACATGCATTTAGTGAGAAAAATGAAAGTTGACAAAGTCTTTTCATGCCATGACTACACTCAGAGAAAGAAAATTATAAAGGTTGTCTTGAAGTTAGATGATAAAATTTGTATATGGTAGGAGTATCAAATAAGCTTAATATGATGACATGGTCCAAAATGTTTAAGAAATAGGTTAAAAAAATTTATAACATAGATTGAATCATGTCAATTTTGCTCTAACCATTTAGGTCAGACCTAAAGCCACATTAGACGATTAACTTATAGATCATACTAGTTTATAAAATAATAATAATTTTTAAATAAAAAAATATTATTTTATTAAAAAAATATTGTATTATAAATTCATTTGATACAGGATCGAGTTATTCCACGAGTAAGTATAAGAATAAGTTTCAAATATCCACTCATTCCTAAATTTAATAGTTAAGATAAATTATTATTTTAGACTATTAAATTACTAAAAAAATAATGATGATAATAAAAAAGAAATATTTAGCTCTTATTTTGAAATAAGTGATCCCTTCTCTCGTAATTTATTTATTAAATCATTATATAAAAAATAAATATTAATTTTATTAATACAACTTAAATTTTAAAATACATTTTTCATTTTAAATTTTTATTTAATTTTTTAATTAATTATTATTTATTTTTAATCGGATCCATTAGCTCACTAGTCTAATATAAGACCAATTAGACAAAAAATTATAGTCTATTTTAAAATGTAGATTAAGTTATCTTCAATTTGTTTTACTTGGCTCATAGGTTAAGTCTGGGGGGTAGCCCATTTGGATAGCTCTAGGAAGTATGAGAAGACTTTGAGAGCACAAGGAAACCAAAGATAACAACTATTGTAAAAACTGACATAGACACGAACAAACTTTATTCTTGAGGCGTGTATAAACACTGCCCTTAAGGACTTATCCGCGGTGTATTGCGCAAGTCCCTCAGGATACAACAGGAACTTCTCGGAATATTCGAGGATCTCAGAAACTAGCAAAAAACTCTCAAAAGAGTAAATTAACCCAAGATCACAGAAAGAAGATCAGAGAAGAGAAGATGAGAGAGGTGTGTTCTGAAGAGTGTGAAGTGGTATCTATTTATAAGAGAAAGTCTGTAACAGTTATGGAAGACTTGGTAGTGGGTCTGTAACGTTCTCTGTAACGTTCTCTGAAACAGTCTTCTGTAACGTGTGTGAGAACACGTTCTCTGAAACGGTCTTTTGTAACGTTCTCTGATGCAACGTGTGTGAGAACACGTTCTCTGAAACAGTCTTCTACAACGTGTGAGAGAACACGTTCTCTGAAACAGTCTTCTGCAACGTGTGAGAACACGTTCTCTGTTTTGCAATACCTCTTAATTTACAACAATCCCCCACATATTGCAAAACAAAAGAAGGAGATAAAAGAATAAAAGAAGAAAATCTTGGGTCTCATATAAGATGTAATGCATCAGAACTGGTATAGCAAGTTATATGAACCAGTCTTAGACTAAAAAACTTAACACACAGTGTAGTTGGTGTAGCAAGCTATATGAACCCAAACACTTAATGTGTGTTAGCGATTTTAATAATCACAATACACCCCCACAATTCTTGTTGTTATCGCTGTGTTGCGCTTACTAGGTCATGCGTGTGCCCGGTATTCATGAGTGCTCTAGAAATCTTGCAAATATCTCATACAAATGGCCCCCACTCGACACTCATATAGGTGACTTCATCAAGCGTATGCTGCAAATCATACACCACCCTTAAGGGATATGAAATCGTTTAAAAACTTTGTGTAGACTAAAATTCGTACACCACATAGAATTTCAATTACAAAGTTTAACCTCTCAATGATGCAGTATCTAGCACTTTCACATATACACCATAGGAACGGACATAATTGATTTTAATCAATTTTAGTGCTAGCAGAACTAACAAGTGACTTGTTTTTACCCATATGAACCTTATTCATGGGATCTCCAATCACAAAGGTTGGGTTACTATCACCTATTTGTTTGCAAGTTGCTTAAGTCCCATTCCCCTCGATGTTTCTAAAATCATATTTCTTGCTAAAAATTTTGTGAGAGGATATGCTAAATTCCGTTCTGACTTCACATAGTTAATGGAAATTGTTCCATTCTTTAGCAGCTGCTTCACTAAATTATGTCTCAACTGTATATGTCTATTCTTTCCATTGTAGTTCTTATTTTTTTGCTATAGCTATTGCCGATTGACAATCACAGTGTATTGATACCGATGAGATCAGTTTCATTCCTAATGGAATGTTTACTAAGAAGTTTTTCAACCACTCAGTTTCACTACCAGCCATTTCGAGAGCAACAAATTTAGATTCCAATGTTGATCTTGCAATAATTGTTTGCCTGGCTGATTTCCATGTAATCGCACCACCCCCGAGTGTGAATACATAGCCACTAGTGGATTTTGTCTTATCTGAATCAGAGATCCAGTTAGCATCACTGTACCCTTCTAGTACAACAGGAAATCCACTATATTCAATGGCATAATCCATTGAACCTCTTAAGTATCTCATAAGTCTTGTAAGTGCATTCCAATATTCTTGATTAGGACATTGAGTGTACCTACTCAGTCTACCTACTGCATAAGCAATGTCAGGTCTAGAAAAGCTCATTAAATGCAGTAAGCTCCCAATTACCTGGGCATACTGAGGTTGAGAGATTGAGTCTCCTCTATTTTTCTTTAACTTAGAGTTAACATCATAAGAGATATTCACTGGTTTGGCGTTATAACACCCAAACTTCCTAAGAAGTTTCTCAATATATTGTTCTTGTGATAGAAAAATATTATCGCCCTTCCTTATGATTTTAACACCCAAAATCACATTGGCTTCACCCATATCTTTCATTTCAAATTTAGATCCCAAAAACAACTTAGTTCTGGAGACAATGTCAATGCATGTACCAAATATTAGCATATCATCTACATATAAACATATAATGACACATTCACCACTCTCAAATTTAGAGTACACACATTTATCAGCATCATTAGTTGAAAAACCATTACAAAGTATAACAATATCAAGTTTTTCATGCCATTGTTTTGGTGCTTGTTTTAATCCATATAAGGATTTTAAAAATTTACACACTTTATTCTCTTGACTTGGAACAACACACCCTTCAGGTTGAGTCATATAAATTTCCTCCTCTAATTCACCATTCAAAAAGGTTGTCTTAACATCCATTTGGTGTATAACTAGTTTATGGATAACTGCTAGAGCTAACAAAACTCGAATAGAGGAAATCCTAGTCACAGGGGGCAAAGGTGTCAAAATAATCAATGTTAAATTTTTGAGTAAAACCTTTTGCTACTAATCTTGCCTTATATTTATCTATGGATCCATCATAATGATATTTTTTCCTTAAAGATAAGTGTAGAAATCATCTCCAAAGGAGGTTTCTTTCCTCTGTCTTTTACTTCTCCTCAAATCCTCATATATTTTATCATTATTAATATATATAGATTGTTTAGGTGTCTCACTAACCTTTAGAGAAAAAATATGTTCAAAGAACTCAACATTTTTTTTTCTCCAC